ACACATCCCCCCGTGCCCCCGGGGTGGGTGTCTCTGCCGCCTCCGGGCTGAGGCACAGCTTCCCCGGGAGGGCTCCCCCTCCGGCGCGTTACTTGGGAACTCGCCGGAGCTCACTCATGAGCCAGAGTGCCACGCTGAGGAGCGCCAGAGAGCCCGACTGGTGTGTGGCAGCCAGAGGCGTGGGGACATACAGCAGCAGGGTGCTGATGCCCAGGCCCACCTGCCAAGAAGAGAGAAGGGGTAAGAGCAGCTGTGGATGCAGCCCTGATGCACATCCCCAGCACACAGTGTGATGCGGAAAGGCTCACGGCCACAGCCAGACTTCCCACCCTCAAACTCAGACTGCGCATGCAGTATGGTGAGGCCCCGGCAGGAGTCCAGGCAGCTCCATTTCTCAGCTCCAGGCTCATGGGGCCAGCACCGATCCAAGCTGAGGACAGCTCTGTCTTGTGAACACGCTACAAAGGACTAGAGAGAGAAAAAAAAAAATAGAAGGAAGAAACCAAACAGACAGTACCTGCACACAAGCCACAGCCAATAAGGAAGTCACTGCCATCCTGGTCCTGTGAGGGAGGGGGATCTTCCGCGAGAAGAGGTACAGTGCTGTGACAGCTGTGACTGAGGCAATTCCCTATAAAAGGGAACAGAAACAACTACTCTTCAAGGAGAGTTCAAGGGAAACAGGTGCAGTGGCCTTCGGCTGTGCCTTCTGTGCAGTAAAAGAAATTCTGTGAGCAACGTGTAGCTATAGAAACACGTTAATGGCATGACCAAATCCCAAAGGTCCCATGCCTGTCAGGTTAACAACCCCGAAATTTAACTAAAGTCATAGAGTGTTCCATTTTCCTCCCAATTAGTGCTTTACTTTCCAATAGCTTTTCCTCATTTCTTCATGTCATTAGGGTTTTTTTCTGCCCTCTCCCTGTTTGTCACCTTGACAACTAAAGGTGGAAGCTGTCAGCTGGAACACTGATCTCATCTTCACCACTCAGTTGTAGTTCACCAGCATAACCTTGCTGTGCAGGTCACCCCAGGCGATTCCTCTTCCACATCACTTAATCCTTCTTTTTAGCCTTAGTAATGGCTTAGTCCACAGCAGCGCCAGCGGTGGTATTTAATACTTGGATTGCTCTAACTAGCTGAAGTATTTTCACAGGTTGCTATTGGTGTAAAGCAACTTCAGAAACACTGAAGGAAACAGACAGCACTGATATTGGGATTTCCAAGTTTTATTTCACACAACATCTCCAGACATCTCAGTAGCGAGGGCTACCCTAGTCTGTAGCTCGTGTTACGGAAAAGGAGACATAAAGAAATGAAGTCTGCAACTTGCACAGGAGGAAGCTGTCCTTGAAGGAGACTACAAATAAGAGCGCTAAACTTCCTCTTTCTGCAAAAGCAAATTGGTAACAACTCTCAGGACCTTCAGACACCCTGGCTATCACTCAAGATGACAGACCCATGGCCCAAAGAGGACAGCTTGGCTGCAGAAGACAACTGAGAAGCAGCACAGACATAGCAGGAAGACGGCACTTACCAAGATCCGGTGATCAAACTGTACAGTTGTGGGATTCTCAAAGATATTTCTCAGCACAGGGGAGAAGGCAAGGAGATCATCTGGGATCCAGCGCTCCCCCATTTTGGGGAAGGAATTGTACACAAGGCCAGCATCCAGCCCTGCCACAAAGGCACCTGCAATTTCAGAGCCGAGGATGAGACTACCAGGGCAGCCAAAGGTGGCATTCCAGGCTGCACAGCTCTTGAATCCAGCCTGACTCAAAAGCTCAGCTTGATCCTGAATTTCTTTCAGAAACATAAAGAGATCACACAGCAACAAGCAGGCTGGAAGGCGCATCTTCACCTGCTCATGATAGACCAGTAAGGGAGGTTCTTGACTGTAAGCTCCCTAACAGCAATAAAGTTTTCCCAAGGAACACGATGAGGTTGCTCAGAGTCCCCACCAGACCAGAATTTAAACAAGGCAGAGGAATGAGCCACAGACGGGACAGCGATGAGAAACACTCTTACCTGAAAGAGCGGTGAGAAAAATGAGAGCTGTAGTGCCATGAGCAAATTGTCTCAGGCGAAGGAGCTGATGGGTCTCAGGTAACTGTAAAATAATTAAAAAAAAAAAAAAAAGAAAAGAATCAAAGCGAAGCGACTCCCAGGTAAGAAAAACCTTCACTACGTACACAGGCCAAAGGGCTGGCCCGCATTTTACAGCAGCAATCTAGAGATTGCCACACAGCACAGTCACCTTCAGTGGTTCCTCAAAACCACAACTACAGTCCAATCATGTGCAGAAACTGAAGTGGCCACTGGACAGTTACTGGCACAGACCATTTAACCCGGCCAGGCACACCCCTGCCTGAGCTTGCACGAACTCCAAGACTGATAACTTTTGGGTGGAACAGCACAAGACAAAGGAAGCGTCCCATAACAGAGAAGTTTACAGAAAGGGTATTTTGTCACGCAGTGTTAGATCACAGTCGGGAACAAGAGACTAAACCGGAAGCACCATCACCCTTCACACCCTTTCCTCACCCTTCACATCACAGCCCCAGCGCTCTCAATTGACACAGCCCTGCGCTTTCGAATCCTGACACGCGACTCCGTACCTGGTGTCGCGGAAGCAGCAAGGACAGCCCCGTCCACAGGCTGGCAGAGTACAGAACCAGCGCGGAGCCGAGATGTGCTGCCAGGCGGTACTGACTGACTCGAGGAATGTCGTACGAGTCTGGTTTCTCTTCCAACCCGCTCTTCACCATGTACCACCCCAGCAGCCCCTGATGAAACAGGTGAGGGGTTAGAGCCAGACAGCGCAGCAGTGGCTGCCTAGGACCAGACAAACATCACAGGCAAAGCAACTTGTTTCCTCCCCCTTCAACCAGCTACCAGCACTGACACCTCCCCAGCTTTCACAAATCCCACTGTCTCAACCACACTTGACCAGAAGACATTCACAGGAGATGCTGCCGCTAATCCCTGCGGCTACAGAGCTCGCTCACCTGGAAGCAGACCAGCCCGCAGAGTGCAAGAACACAGCCCTTCATGGGGCGGCTGAGCCAGCCCTTCCGCCAGAAGTAGGCGGCCGGGAGAATGTAGGCCAGACCCACAACACGGCCCCACATACGGTGCGAATACTCCATGTACCAAATGAACTTGAACTCTGTCAGTGTCATGTCGTGATTCAGGCTGTTAACGACAGTAAAACAAAGAACTGTTTCACGTGATGCGGCAGTCCTATGCTGCACTTCCCGCAACAAGGGATCACCTTCCTCAGAGAAAGGAAGTGACAGCGAAGGAGCCACCATCAGACAGGCTTCACGTGCCTTTCCAGTGATGTTGGAAAATATTTCCATTCTTACAAGAGTTTCTTGATCATCTCAGTCCATCCTCCTTCCACTTTTGTGCACTCACATTTTAAACTCCGGGAACTGCTGGTACTTTTGGAACTCAGCTTCCCACTCCTGCTGTGTTCTCGGGGGTTTCATCTCTTTCACCAGGTGCCAGTCAACCATAGAAAGGCCTGATTCTGTCAGCCTGGGGCATACAGAGACACGTGCTGGCATAATTCACTCGCTGACAGCATGCAGATCTACCGAACTGAAACAAGAGCTGCTGGCTGCACCGGGCAAACCTTAAACTCACAGTCAGAAATAGGACGGAGATCAGGGAGTCTGCGAGTGATCAACAGACCCAAAATTACCAAAAACGCGTGAGAGAAAGTTATCCCCAGGTGGCAAGGACGCACCGCGGAGAGCGTCCCTCCGATACTCCCAGCCCTCCCCCACGATGTCCCCTTGCAGCGAGGAAGGAGGAAAGACAGGAGAGGAGCTCTCACGGCCGCGCTCGGGGCGGGTCCCCGGCA